TAAATATTCCGGATTTCTAATATTTTTTTCATAGTAATAGACAGTACAAAGTTTTTACTGATACAGTTTGTTTACTCTATAAACATAGTAAATACTTAATAAATTAAGTTTTTAATAGGTGCAGCGTATATACCGGAGTTACTCTATGTAAATTAAACATAACTTATATATAATCTTTATAAAACGCAACGCTGTTTTGTACAGAACAAAATGTTTTCTGCAATCCGCATTTGTTTAACATGAGCTCAGAATTTATATCTGCGATACGTCTATTGTCCTAATGCACCGTTTCAAAACAAAATGCAAACTTTCTATTTAACTGTTTCTTATTAGTGCCTACATAGTTTCTCCCAACGGTATTTCTCTCTACTGTCAAGAGACGCATATTTAGCAAATTGCTTTGGAGAAAGATTCTCAGAAGTCATGCGCTGTATAGAAGAAGGAAATTCCGATTTAACCCATTAAACATAAAATACTAAATATTTACTAGATGCATTTAATAATAATTTTGTGGAGAATACACGTGCAAGCACCATGCCTAAATATTGCAACTAAAAAAATTAGGTAAAAGTCCAGCAAAGTTCGTGATATATAAAATATACGATAGACATTACTGTGTAAAGTGATTCTTGTGAAATCATACAGCGATTTGCGAAAGCTGCTCCAACTTGCGCCAGCCTGTGTCTAAAGAGTATCTTCTCCAGAGCAATCTTGCCATATAGAAAGAACGAGATCCGTGAGCCCGTAGTTTAACTAGCGTGTTTCCGGTTGGCAGGGGAAGTCTTTTCACCTCGCAGACGAGTTCGGTAACGGAAGCGACCAGCGACGAAATTGATATCGACATCGAGGAACCCCAGAGAGTAACCACGTAAGTATCTATTGATATTGATTGACTTTTTACTCATCCTTTCTGCGTGCATGCGAAATATATGTGTATTAATCATAAGACTTACGATTTGTTTTGTAACTTCTACAGCAATTCTCGAATCCACTACCGTCTCCGATCGTAAAGTTATTAAACGCCCGTTTCGCGTATACGTACATCGAGTTAGATCGCGCCGACCGAAATCAGAGTATAGGAAGCCGAGGAACGTATATCTCCATGCAAATTACTTCTACTTTGCATGCGGAATCGATAGTACCGAGAAATTTTCCTGTACCTCGTGCATACCTCGTATCATAATATACAGATAAATATCGCACAGATCGTTACGAGTGTGCTAGCACCAGAGGAATAGAATGTGCTTTCTATTCTCCAACGAAATTTAATTTTGCGAAAATCTTGTAGTTTCACTTCATGCATCCGCTTGGTTGTCGAGCTACTAAAGCTCGAGTTTTGCTTCTTTAAAGGGAGAACCAAATGCGCGAAGGTTTGATGTAATAGTGTCGGAGTAATGTTTTGCAACTTGGTAATCGTGTAATCTGATTCTCATTTTCATCACACTTCTGCATTTGCATTCACATTTTTCAATTTTCATCGTCTATTACCAATCACTTCCAGCTGAATGATCCATCCAAGAGAGAAATGAAAATAGAGTGTGTTTGAATATTACCTACGCATATGTATATACTCGTATATATGGTTTAACTTTAATGCACTCTTAAACACGAGTAATTGTATGAATAAATATTTAAATTACAATTTATTTCAACAGCGGCTACATCTGCATTTATCATCTGTATTATTATCTATATTTTCATAGAGTGTAATTAGTATAATAATATTTAGATAATTTTAATTATAATGCTTTTTACATAGACTTTCTGAAATTAAATTTTTCTTAAGGAAATATCTCTCTCTTTATTCTACAGAATATTTTATTCTAGATTTTTTATTTAAATAAATAAATATATATATATATTTTTTTAAACGTTGAGAATGTTTTATATATATTGAATATATTGTATATTTAATCTCGGATTTTTAATTTTAGTGTTTAATATAATACATATTTAGCTTATGGTATGTATATACAGTTTAACTCTAACTCAATTTGGACCGATGCAATCTATTTGTCTTTTAATATTGCGGAGCATTTTTCCATGCGATAAAATCTGCTTGATTTCTATTCGTTAAGAATTAAGAACATCTACGAAATAATTAGGCGTATATAGAGATTTATATACATATATAATAGCAGCGGCAAAAATATACACATTTTCATTATACGTACATCGCACTCAAATTCATGAAAGAGAGGTGATAAGGGAGGCCTTTCTCGACGGCTTTTCGCGCCATTGACATTTTAAAGAGGTCGGTTCTGCGGGCGCGAATGAAACGCACGGTATTCGCACAAAAGGCCCTTTTCGTGCACTCGCACGGACTCGTGAGTGCTTTTTCCATCTCACCATTACTTCACCGCCGGTATAAATGACCCAGATTTCACGGCGTCAAACGAATGTGCACGTGAATGCTTGAAACTTGTATATAAAGACACTTGCCAGATTTTTCTGTTCCATCTTCACTTAACTTCTTTCGCCTCTCATTCACTTCGGCCCGAGGCTTTCTTATGTTTGCCAACCAGAAAGCATCTCGTTTGGATATCTTTCATTGCCGACTGCATTCGTTTCTATTGCAGTCGGCAATGAAAGATATCCAAACATCTAAACCAAAGATATCCAACATATTTTTATTGTTTAAAAATATTATCCTACGTGTCTCGTGAAATCAGATTTTCTTCCATGTGTTCTCACTCTTCTGTTTTTCATCCTGTTATTTACTGTATCGTCTTTCTTATTACTATCGTTTTTCTTGTTACTATGATTATTACGAGTTACACTACTCTTGTTGTATAGCAAAAATTTGGTACCTATATTGAATTTTAATGATATATTTTTATTTTCCCGCAATTCTCTTCCGTTAATTAAAAAAAATAATAATAAAATTTTATTATCCAATTTTTTTCTCAAGAGGATTAAGTACAAATTGGACCACAAGAGCCTTTGCATTTTGTTAATTCTGCAAATAAACATACATGCGAAGTTTCTTTTAATTATGAAGCAATATTTGCACTGAATATAACAATGTGTTTGTGTGTAAGCAGTGTTATATACATATGTATACACTCACAGAAAAGATATCTATATTCAATGCTATTATTCCTTGATCTATAATAGAACAAAATAAGTTCAATGATAAAGCCAATCATATATATATATATATATTTTTTTTTTTTCAGAAAAGAATATTTTCTTCTTAAATGAAAAATTCTAAAATTTTCAGAATAAAATATTCTTAATGCTATTTCATTAATTTTCTTAACAGAAAAATTTAGGTTACATTTTTCGACAACGAAAAACTCGGCTCGGCCAGGACTCAAACTCAGGATTTCTCGTTCCGCATGTTTCTCATCTAGCGCGCTACACTACGACAGCTTCCCTGTCATGATGCTATAGCATCACGTACATAACACTAGATAGACTTATCCTAAATGTAAGAATATATAAACCTAAATTTATATGTATTATATTCGTCTCAAGACAAGATGTCGATCTTATTTTACGCGAGAGGAAGTAGAATAAAAATTATCGATTTAATTTTAATACAGTTACAATTTTATACTGCGTACGGTTGAGCTATATAAGTATATAATATGTCAAGGATATTTTTTTTCTTGATATTAAAAATCCTTTCTGAGAGTGTACATATATGATATTATTAAAAAATGAAATGATTTCCATTCTAGACTTATTTATATCTCGAAGTAAAATAAATGCATTCACTACCTGTTTATTTCTTACTAGCTCTTCTTACGATCAGTCGAATTCTCCATTGTAACACTTGATTGTAAACGTTCCTCCGACGTTTTACCATACATAAAGCACTTTGTCTCATATTTACACTCACGACAAAAGCATCTGCCAAGGAGCTAAGCGTTCTTGGAGACGTAAACACCTGAAGAATAGGCGCTCTTCTCGAGAGCATATTCCTCTATTCTTTGGCGCCGTGGGATCGAGAGCTAACAAATGAGAGTAGTGCAAAGTCGAAAGTGAAGAAAAACCATTATTTTGGTCAATATATGGGTCAGCTGGTAATCCGAGATGAATATTCGAATAGTAATCCGACGTGTGATATTACGTTTGACACGAATCAATTTTCCAACTCGGTATATCACAATTATTTTGCGGGCCACGGATAGTGTACGAAAAGGATAGCTTTTTCGATATTACGTCATTACTTTATCTAGAAAAGTAAACTTATTCATTTTCAACGTATACGATTATCCTAACAGACAGAAAGAGACTGTTAAAATGTTAACGCTTTTAGAAGTATCTACCTTTGAACGTGCAGCGCAGTTTTATACTTTATGCAATTTACATTAACGGAGTTCAGCGTTGCACTTTATCGGTTACTTCTAACGACGGAAGGGAAACGAGCTGTATCAAGTTGCGTCTTGCTGCGTCATGATCGACTAGGAAAATTAAGTTAGCGAAGATCGCAACTCGAGGAGAAATCAATTTCTCTTCTAAACTGAATCAAGCGGATTTGAAACCGCTACAACAAAATGATTGAATGTTGTAATGTGATATTTCAACGGATTCGAAATTAACATTTTTATCCCAGATCATACTTTTATCTTTATGATATTTTTAATGATACTTTGCATTTAGACATGTATCGCAAATAAAAAAGAAGAGATGTACTCATACATAAATGTATCTTTTCCCTGTTGCCAATTTGCTAGTCTAAATTTCGCATTTTGTCATTCTTTTTAGGTTGACAGAGGCACACCGGAATGCTATTCGGGCAATCAGGAAGATCAAGTACTTCGTGGCTCGCAGAAAGTTTCAACAAGCTCGGAAACCGTACGACGTTCGTGACGTCATCGAACAATACAGCCAAGGTCATCTAAACATGATGGTGCGAATTAAGGTGAGTCGATCCTTCATCTTGAAAATACATCTATAATACCGTAACTCGAAGATTATCATTTAACATACAGACACAGTAGGTTATTTTAAAGAAACACCGTTTCGTTCACAAGACCAATCGCCGCAATTATTCAGTCATGTAATCTAACGAGTAAATGACACACGATAAAGTAAATCTGTTTATCGCGTGATAAACAGTAATTGCTCTTATTTGACATATTACTGCGAGCGATCGTCGATGGCAAATTCTGGTTCCGTATTTAATCAATCGCCAACGATTAGTTCGACACGTAATATTGAAGGGCATGTCGTACAAAGTCCGCGTCGGTTCGCGGGACAATGTAACCATTGGTACACGACGCAAAATAGAGCCATCAATTAATCGACATGGTTGTCGCGGTTTACATCTACACTCATCGGGTACCTAAAGATCGATCGCACGTACGTATTAATACCTTAACACATGAATTTTAACCTTCAAACTGTACACCAGTGCGAATTCGCACCACAAAAATTTTCAATTTGCTGACAGTTGCCGCGGCTTATCCTCACTGCGTTAAAATATGCTTTTCCATTAAATTTGAGTGGTACTGTTGGATTTGTGAGAAAATTATATCTCAGAAAAGAATGGTTTTAAAGAAATTTCTATTTTAATCCTCAAAAGAGACTTGCAATTAAAAATGTCAAATCTCATTTCGCACCTGTGTACTATTAGTAGGTACTCAAGGGAGGTGTATGAGTTTGAAGGTTAAGACACTTTCGGAATATATATATGAGAAATATATACAGCATATATATGTATATATATGCTATAATCTGTTATACATTTGTACATCAAGAGTGCAGTTG